GTTCTTGAGTTTAATAAGAGAACAAAATTCTTCTCTTTAAAGTTGGTGAGTTTTAGAGTAAATTCTAGTGAGGGCTTATCAACGTTTCCAACAATAGCTCCGCTCATATATCACCACATGAATGATTCAGATATGACCATTTGGAACAGTTACAAAATAGATTGTATCAACTATTTCTCCAGGTCAATAAGGTCTCTAAAACTCTATATCCATATACCGAATATTATTTAAGCTACTACTTTTAAACTTGATCCTCTCCTATGTCCGTTACATATCTAGTTTGAGAGCACACATCCGGTAGCTTAGGAACAATTAAGCATTGAACGTCAATTTTCTCGACAAAATGCACATCCAATTATTAAGATTGTTTTATTTATAACTAAATTGTTTAACCTTCATATCACGAGGTTATGACATACATCCCAACAATCTCTCTCATTACAAGTGAGATATGCATCTAGGTTATCCCATACCCTTACACCGTATACGATCATAGTCATTCACTTATGAAATTAAAGGACTAGGGAGAAGTACTAAATCAAGTTTAGAATATTGAGGTTTAATAATGATCATAATGAATGAATATTTAAAATGTATGTTAGATAATGAGAGAATAATATCTGGGTTTTACCGTTTAAGATTTTGTAAAAACAACAATAAGTTAAGGTAATGCAGCATAGAGGCATGTCAACAAGTCAGCCTATCAGCTCCTGCAATAAAATCTTCTCATGCAATATTTTCTTTCTTTCATAATAACTTTTTAAAAACATAATAAACAATTATTTTGTTCCCTTGGCCTGTTTATCGTCGTAACTAAAGTCTCTCCATATATATTTTTTTAATTATCCAAGAGTCCGCAGTCATTTAATCTTTTTGCTCCTATACCTGGAATATGCGTACTGTCATACCCGTACATACGCAAGAGGTCATAACTAAAGTCTCTATATATACGATACTCGTACATATGCAAGAGGTCATGACTAAAGTCTCTCTATATGTATATATACACGATATTTGGAATACTTCCTTTAGTACTTGGTTGGGGTTCAAGTGATCCTCCTAGATAAATCTCTTGATTTCTTCTTTTGGTCATCCAACCGTGTGATTTATTGAAATTTTCAGTATGGTTCATTATGATATTGACTCCAATTTGATTGTCTTCACCAGTTGACATGTTCCTTTTGGTTAACAAGATTATTGTCTATCAGTTTCAAGGAAATGAATTCTATAATTAGCCACTTCCTCGTAAATTGTGTCAAACTAAGTATACTAGGAAGAAATCTACTCTCAAAATTTGACTCGAAAAGACTACGAAGCTAGGGGATCGATGTGGTATTTAGTCTTTTAATAGGTTCTCAAACACGTACTTTATTTTTTTATACGACAAATAGGAGTATGGAGGTTGAACTTCCGATCTCAAGGAAAGAAGTAGGTGTCAATTACCACTCAACTATGTTATGTCCGCAATATTTTCTCAAAAGGTAGGATTGTAAGGGTTCGTCATCAAGTAATAATGAATAATTATAGTAAAGTTGGACCATACCTTGAATTTTACCAATTTCATTAGATTGAGTTGTGTTTCCAAACATTTGAAGAGAATTGTTGTTGTTTGATTCAACTTCATAATGGGATTGGTGTGCTACTTCTTTATCTAGTCAACATAGATTAAAGTATTAAATATAATGTATGAACATATATCACACTTCTAGTTCATTTTTTCTTTCATGAGTGACATTAAATATCTCCAAAAGTAGAACATATATGTAATGTAAATATTGCTTTAAATCATACCACCTACATAAAGAAAAATTAAAGTTTATAACATTTAGGATTAATTAATTTTGTCTTTCTAGTATCTTTTCTTTTAACATATTGTTATGATTGTAGAGTATAGTCATCAAATAACAATGAACACATATAATTCATGTTTGACCATACCTTAATTCTTTGTCTAGTCAAGATAAATTAAAGCATTGAATATAATGAAATATGGATATATATGCGTATTACACTTCTTATCCACTTTCTTCCACAAATGATATAAAATATATATTCACATACTGAACATGGCACACAAATTACACAATCACAACAACATAAAAATTAAAATTAAAAGTAAAAAAGCTTTAAGTTATTATGGTGTGATAATTAAATTATGTTAACACTTTTTCATCACTTGATCATACCTTCAATGTTACCAGCTTCATAGGTTTTAGCTTCTGCTTTGGCTATTTGAGGAGAATTATTGTTGTTTGATCCATCTTGAGATTGAGATTGAGATTGGTTTCCTCCTTTATATAGCAAAAGTAAAATAAAGCAATTTAATATGATATATTGACATGTATCATAAATCTAATTTATTTTCTTAGTTAATGTTATATAATATATATGTACACATAAAAAAAATATCTCTATAATACCTCGTATTTTCTTTGTTCAACGATGAAAATGTACTAATTGAGACTTTGTTTCTATTGCTAACCACACTACGATAATACCTCGTATTTTCTTTAACGGATATTTTCATAATTAATTATATATTGTAATTAGGTTTTCCCTAGTAGTAACCTAGCCGTGTAACCCATTTATGTTTTGGTTAATATCAATTTAAATTTTTATTTAAAATATTTTAGGTTTGAGAAATCCCAATGGGGGTCCATTCTCACATTACTATATTTTCAAATATAATAACAAGGTTGTGATCAGACAAATATGAACAATTTTTAATATATCTATTTAATTCTTCTTTTAACCTTCGTATATCACTCATTTATACGCAAGATTCTACTTACAAATATATTTTTTTAAATGGCATCTAAACTCACCCTGATCACTGACATTTGACTTTGATTTATGGTTAGGTTTATTTTTTAGGCTATATTTTAGGCTTTTTTCTAGATAAAATTTTGACTGTTTTGGTTTTTGGGTGTTTGGAATATTTATTCCTTAATTTTTTAGTAATTTTATAAATTACGTTTTAGGGATCAGCTTTAATTTCAATCCTTATTTTTCATAGTTCAATTTAATAAAATTAATACATCAAAGTTAAACATTATTCACTAACTCAGAGTGGTAAAAATTAGTTTTACTAAAAGATTATTATTATTATTATTATTATTATTATTATTATTATTTTGAAGCAATTTCACTGAAAGATTCTAATTAAGGTACTCAATAAATTTGAATTTGAATTACATACCTCCACAATTACAGCATGTAAATAGTCCTGAATAATAAAAAATGGTTAAGCAAAGAAAAGAAAAAATCATTAATAAGGCCGAGAGAAATATCTCTAGAGTGTTAAAGAGAGCTTAAAAATATATTTTTTTTTCCTTTTTTTGAGAGAATAAATATTCCAATAATATTTTTTTACATAAATATTACCATTATTAATACAACTCTAATGTTTTAATATTTATTTAGAAATATAATTTTATTCTAGAAAAATGAGGCACTAATAAACGTCTACTTTCAAGCTTTGTATATTTTACGAAATTGTTCTTCCTTTCCAGATAATCTAAGCAAATAATAAAATATGGTGAAAAGAGTCACGAAGTTTTATCCATTATTTTGATCTTTAATTTTTTAAATAATATCATTAACTATTCGAAGTTATTGAAAAATGTGATATAATAAAATATTTTCAGAATAAAGATTAAATATGGAGTATAACTCTAATGAGGCAGTTTAAAAGTTTAAAATATAATATAAGGATTTAATAAATAATTTAAAAATTTAGGGACAAAAATGGAAAAGGAGTAAAATTTCAAGAAAATAAAAAGTTACATTTTAAACTAAGTTAAAATATTATTTTGGTCACTATACTATGGTTCCATTTGGTCCATCAACTTTGAGTCCTAATTCATTTTAGTCTTTCTATACTTTTAAAATATTAATTTTGGACTCTATACTTTTAAAAAGTGACAATTTTTGTCGCTTAATTTCAACACAACACTACACTAAATATATTTATTGAAATGTAGCCATGATTTTATGTTAAAGGGTTTTTGTCAGGTACATAATTTGCTTTAATTAAAATTTTTCAAATAGCGACCAAAAATGATCATTTTTAAAAGTACAGGACCATAACGAGCACTTTGAAAATAAAGAGACCAAAATGAACATTTTAAAAGTACAGGAACCAAAATGAATCAAAACTCAAAATACATAAATCGAAATAGTATTTTAACCTTTAAACCGAATATAATTTTTAATTTTCTCTTAAATTTTAACTTCGAAACATCACAAACTTAAATTTTGGTAACTAAAACTTAAATTTTGGTAACTAAAACTGAGTATTTGAAAAGTAGGAACTAAAACAGAACTTTAAACTTTTTTCTTTTTTTAGCATTATCTATATCTTGTTCAAATTTTGTTTTTTATTTTTTATATTGAATATACACAATATGAAAAAGAAATATAAATATATTTCAAGATTAAAATATTACCCAAGCAGCACATGCATTGCTGAGGACAGTTTGCACAAATTATCTTTACCCAGGTATTCTGTGGACCTGAAATGTATATTCACATTAATACATTATTATTATTGAGATAAGAGGACTTAATATATATTTTAAATTCTTAACTACTTTTTCAATTTAATCCCTTAAAAAGTTTCAATTTAACTATTTATATTTTAGTAATTTTTAATTATATTATCTATGTTAATGAAAATTAAAATTAATTGATAATAAATTTACTAATTCGTATAAAATTAGTCGCCTTTCTCTTCTTTTGCGCCGCCTCCAACGTCAAAATTTCATCGCCTGCACCCTCTCAAAGCTGAAACATCCAATCGTTTTTTTTAACCCTGAATCGATCTAAGCTTGAACTGATCCATAATGACACATGTCCCTTTAATTTGTACTTAGTTGCTAGCCATATCATATTTTTGTTAAATCTTAACATAATATTTAAGGATAATAAATTTTTATCATTGCTTTTGAAAGTTCAATAATTAAATTGTTAAAAAATATTGGGACTAAATGTATTTTGAACTAACTTAATAAATTCACAACTTAGATGAGAAATAAAAACAAAGAAAAAGTTGAAATTTGTAACAACTATTTATAAATTTTAAGGATAAATTATAAATTTTATTCTTTTCGGTGGCATAATTATTCTTCTAAATTTTTGCCAATACACTAAATATCAAACAACTAATTCTAACCGTCATCAACATAAAGAGTATAATTGAAAAATCTTAAAATATAAGAGATTAAATTGAAATATCTTTCACAATAAAAACTAAATTTTAAAACAATCAGAACATTATAGTATGAAACATATACTTTACCAAATAGAAACCGCTAGGGTTGTACATTATTTGAGAATAAAAAAATAAAAGGTGTTTTAAATTAATTAGTAGATGTAAAAATTTGTATAATACTAAAAAGTAATTTTATGTTTTAACTTGATGAAATTTTTATTTTACAATTTTCATAGTAAAAAATATTTTTCTAAAAACACTTAAATTCTCCTAGAAAATGCTAAAGTTAGGACATTTACCTATGTTAATGGGTTCGACGTCTACATAAATGATGCATGCCGTGAAATGTCTATTTGTTCAATTAAATATTTTATTTTTAAAAACTTTCAGAAATATCTACCGACATTAATCTTATCTATATATTTATTAATATTTTTATAAAATTGAGACGAAATTTCTATCAATATCGACATTTGAAACTTTATATTCAATGTAGCCCTAAAAGTCACCGCTCGTAGAATAGTCCTTTTGATCAGCAAGAGTGTAACACAACACCAGCAGCAAATCTCTATAAATATTGCTCAATAAATAGAAAGGCACTGAATTCATAAGATTCAATTTGATCAATAATAATTTTTAGTAGATCAATTTATGGATTTAAGTAAGAATGGGATCTAGGAATATTAGATTTAATATAAGTTCAAACTTGTGGCTTTGAATAAATAATTAAGAATGGGATCCAGTACGGAAAATGATGTAATTTTTGCTATCTAACTTAAAAGAAATTAGATAGCTAACTAATCCTACATAAAAATATATTTAAAACATGTATCAACTAAAAACTCGTGGTAATATTACTAATTAAGTAACAATGGTACTAAAAAAAAAAAGTAACAATAGAGAACTTTTTTATAGAATGAAAAACTATATGCTTAGATGTGGAGCACATAACCTAATGTGGCTTAATATGTTTCTAAAAATCGAAAAACAAGAAATATAAGTAGTTGTCAAATTCTTAGATTTCTTAATAAAATTGGAAATGAGAAACAAGAAACAGAAACATTACCAAATAACTTTGTGCCAGGTTAGAGGTTCAAATTTTCCAACGCATGAACTCGAATTGAAATTAGAATAAAAAATTATAAAACTTACATAAAAATGAATTTTTTAGTATAACATCTGGGGGTGGGAGTTCTAACTCACAACCAATGTTGAAAATATATGCTAATTATCGCTAAGCTAGGCTCACTTTTAAGTATCCAAACTAATTTTCTTTTATGTAGTTTTCTTATAGTAAATTTCGATGAGGGTTAAAAAATCTATAAGCTTGTAAAACTAATAGAATATGGAGTTTTTTTTTAGGCTTTTTTAACTATATTTGTTTTCACTCTTATTTATATAAATTTTTTTAATCTGATTAGTACAAAGTGGAAACTGGAACTCTTCGTCAATATTTTACCCAAAAATCATCATTCTCGATTACGAAACCCTAACTACGATCTCGTCAAAACTTAAGCAGATAGATAAACGTCAAACGTGAATGTAAAAAGTAATAAACAGGCACTTGCCTCTGTGAATTTATGCTCATGAATTCCATCTTTAGAAAGTAGTAAGCCCAAAGCTATATAAATCTCTAAATTTTCTCTCCAATATTGTTGTTACTATTGTTCTTGAATTAGAAAATATTAGTATTGGTTACCTTTAGATTAATTAATTAATTAAAATATATAAGAATAATGAAAATTTTTAAAACTTAAAGAAGATAGAAAATCAAAGTACATAATTTAGAGGAAGCTGTAATTTAAAATACTCACCATTGGGACCACCATCGGTTGGAGATGGAGGCTGACAACATGCACCTAATTTGTGAAAGGTAGCAAATTACTATGCATATAATATAATATTTTTAGACTAAATTTTCCAATTTTTAAACTTTATTACTAAATAAGTATTTGTATTGTTTTTCATTTTTTATGAGAAGAAAATTTCTTGAATTTATATGATCATTTTAAAAAAAATAATATTGACAATTTTTTTTTTTAAGATTAACTATAATTTTTAAAACATTCTTTAAATTGACTACAAAACAGAGAAAAACAAATATAATTAATGGGCTCAAAAGTAGTCTTTAAAAGCCTACATTTTCCCCCCAAAATTCAGCTATAATTCTAAAACTATTTTTAAAAAGTGAAACCAAAAAGTTCGTAGGAGGGTATTTCAACTAGGTTAAATTCTCCTATAGGGTTTGGGTAAGGTTTTAAGTGGGCCAATAGGCTCAAGTTTCAATTTCGTTCTTATGATGTAAGCAAGCAATATTTTAAGTTGGTCAATATGATGTGGGCTGCAATTTCAATTTAGTTCTTGTGGTTCCGGTTTAATTTGAATTTAGTCCCTAACATTTTAAAATTTTCAATTTTCCTTTTTAAGTACAACAAATGAGGGCAATTTTGGTATTTATAACAATTTTACAAAATTCAAATTACATAAAAAGATTTTAAAGTGATTCATGGTCAATCATTTTATAATTTATTATTATTGTTTTTTTTTTTTTTTTAAGAATCAACTTTTAAAGTGACTCTCAAAATGATTTAAATCAATTGGATTGTTTCAAATATAATTTTTGTTTGTCGCTAAACACTTGGTATCAGGTAAAAAACTTTGAACCTCAAAACTTCCTTACAAAATCATGCCAAACAGACCCTTCTTTCAAAAACTTATAAGCTTACATAAAAAATTCAAAAAACTAAAGAAAAACGATAGTTTAAGAAAGTCTGTCTTTTTTATTTTTATTATTATTATTTTATTTAACTAAAATTTAAAAGTGATTTGTACAAAGAGGATGGAAAGGAGAAAAATGTTGATAAATAAATATAAATTACAGATAAAATTATAAAAACAATTTTTTGTCATCACATAGGATCGAGAATAATTGATTAAATTTCAAATTTAAATCCTCAACTTTCAAGTTTGTTGGTCTAATAATGGTTAAAAGTATCTACTATCTCTTTAAACTTTCAATTTTATATCTAATAAATAGGTCATAAAATTTAATATGTCTAATAAATTTTTGAACTTTCAATTTTTTTTCCGTCTATCTACTATGTTTTAATTGATGGCTTTCTCATTGTACATCTTGTAAAAGCTAAAGTTACAAAATGATCCTTAGTCCTTTAAGGAAATTTTTAATATGCTTCTTGATCCTTTTAAAATCCCTCGACTTCACTTTTAAAAATCTTTAAGTCGTTTGGTAAAAACAGATTATTAAATTTTTTCGACAAAAAGTTGATGTACGATTAATTAATTTTTTTTTTTTTTTTATGAACATATTCGGACACCTATTTGATTTATGTAACCGCTGCTCAAACATGAAATATATCAAACTTCTTCCAAAGCATCATAGTCATGTATCCAAATATGTTAATAAAACAATGAAACATCAATTCTATATTAATAAATTTTAACAATATTTTTTACCGGACGGAGAAGCTTTAACATATTGAAGTAAATTTTATAGTTTTTTTTATTAAAGATTAATGACTAAAATGAGAATTCCCTAAAAAATTATCATTGGATATATTTAGCATTTTCTAAATTAGAAAACCTATTAAACAAAAAAACGACTAAAAAGTTAGGATAGACACAATTTTTAATTTTGAATCTAATAGTTCCGTTTTTCTTTTAAATGTTTAATAAATCAAGGTTTTATTAAACATAAAATTAGAAATTAAAGAATCTATTGAACCTTTTTAAACTTCAAATACTATTAGGCATAAGATGAAATAATGTCTAGGAACTTTATTAGACAATTTTTTCTAAAAGTTCGAAAAGCTATAGAAATAGGAGTAGAAAATCATGAATTGAACTTATAATTTAACCAATATAATTAATTTTAAAATGAAACAAACTCACAGCATTCTTTAAACCAAGTCCACCCGCAACATAACCATTGGGAGAATGTGAAGCAATCGAAAGCCATAATATTGCTAAGATTGTCGAGAAATTTCCAATAGTACTTTGATAGTTCTTCTATTCACTATCTGCCATATCAATATTGTATTAAAAATAAACTCAAACTCAAATATAATCTAAAATAGACTAAGTTAAAATTTATGTTAGGAGGTTAAAATTTTCTTTTTTAAACAAAATAATTTGTTTATTTTTCTAAAATCACAAAAATTTTTAATTTATTATTTCGATATTTTTTAAAAAACATTCCTCGGTTCATAATTCATAGATTAATCCAAACAACATAAATAAATGGTCTTTTCTATAAAACTCACATTTTTCACAGCCTACTACGTTTAGGAAAATTGAAATGGGTGACAAAATAAATTTCTACCTAGAAAAACTATTTACAAATATGACAAACTTTTTCTCGTATACCACTGTTACACTATTTTTCTATCATCAATAAAATAAAAGATAAAATACATTTTTTGATCTCTGCGTTTGAAGGTAAGTTTATATTTGATCATTTAAGTTTCAAAAAATGATAGTTTGGTCCTTGAGCTTTGAAAAATAGTTTGAAAAGGTCCCTTGGATTAAACTTCTGTGAGTGACAATAACGGGATGTTGAGATGTGGCACCGATGAGTTGTATATTTATTACTTTTATATTATATATATATATATTTTTCTCATTTCTATCTCCTCTTTCTTTATCCCTTCTTCTCTCCTCTCTCTCTTGCCTTTCCTTCCTCCCTGGACCGTGACCCAAATGGAGTGGTACTAGACCTGAGCTGAATTGAAGCTACTTCAACCATCAACTTGATTGATCCCCAATGGAAGAGCTTGAGGAAAGAGCGAAAACGATGAAAAAAAAATTACCCATCCCAGGCAGGTGACAGGTAATTGATTAAAAAGAGTGAAAACGAAATAATAAAAAATTGGAGAATTGATTAGAGCGAGAGTCCGAGAGTTAGCGAGATCGAGAGAGTGAGCGAAAGTGAGATCGAGAGAGTGGCCGACAGTGAGAGAGTGATCTAGAGCGAGAGTACCGAGAGCGAGATTGAGATAGTGATCGAGGAGAAGATTGGCGAATTATTATGTGCGAAATTTCTGGTTTTTTTTTTTCTTTCTATTTCACAGTTTATTTATTTATCTGGCTTTTCCTGTTATCCAAAAATTCTTGATTTCAGTATTCAAACACCAGATTTTGTTTTATTATTATTATTTTTTTTTAATGGAATCTTATCTTCATCATTTAAGCTCTGCGTAGTGACTGCAAGGGAGGATACCCAAAATTTTGGTGGCTGTCGAATTGGGATTTTGGGAACAATGAGATCAATGTTTTTCGCTGGCGCATTTCGATCCGACGACGAATTTGTCAGAGTCTTGTTGTAAGGCAGAAGATCAAAAATCTGAGGAACGGGTATGGAAATTGCAGTTCTAGTAAAGGAATAAATTGGTTTCATTCTCAAGGTGGGTCTTAAGCAATTAGAGAAATGGAGAGAAATGGGTATTCATTTTCAATTTCAAGGTGGGTCTTAAGCGTCTGAGAAAGACTGGGTGAAAGGTTGTCATAAAAGCTTGGAGAAATGAGTCTTCGTTTTTTCGATAAAGTCTGGGAAAAATCGCAAAAATAATTTGTGAGAGAAGGATGGAATAACCAGAAGAGAGGAAAGAGGGGGAGGTAAGAGAAGGAGAAGCAGAAAAAAATCAAGGAAGGGAGGGAGAAGAAAAAAGTAATTGTAGAAAAAAAAGGAAAAATGGACAAAATAAGCATTCTATGGGGGCTTTTAACCCTCACTACCCCTCCACTAATATTTTAGACTTCCCTCCTGATTTCCTCTCTCTACCTCCATCTCTCTCTTTTTCCAGATTTCTTTTATCGTTTTTCATTATTCTCTTTTCTTCTCCAGCAAAGTTTTTTTTCTCATTCTCTTTAAAATTTTCTTGGAGTTTCTCTTTTTCTTCTTCCATCTTTGTGTATTTTTTCTGATTACTATTATTCTCTTTCTTCTTTACTGAGCACAAAAAACAATTTACTTTAAAAAAAAACCCTAAATCTTTCAGCTTTTTTTTTTAAAAACCAGACGCCTCCATGGTTCCCGTGACTTTGTTGATGACGACTGCATCAAAGCCGACGAAGGAAGTCATTCGCCGAAGAAAGAAGTCATTCGCCGAAGAAAGAAGCTCAGTGGAAGAGGAATGGGGGAGGAGATAAAGAGAGAGAGCGAGGGTGAGCGAGAGAGCGAGATCGAGGGTGAGCGAGAGAGCGAGATCGAGGGTGAGCGAGAGAGCGAGATCGAGGGTGAGCGAGAGAGCGAGATCGAGGGTGAGCGAGAGAGATCGAGGGAATCTAAAAATAATATTTTTAATGAGATTGTTTTTTTTATCGTATCTAAAAATTAATTTTGAATTAATGTTCATCAAATCAAATTAATTTTGAGAAAAACGAAATCTCAATATTAATTCAAATTGTTTCCCGAAATCTCTCATCAATCTCAGTTTTAATTATAATTGAATTTCAAATCCCCCAATTTTGCTTTCCCATATTTCATTCCTAATTTAGATTTTAATCAAATGTATCAATTTAAAATCTAATTAAAATGAGGGGTTTTTAATTCAATCCTAATTAAAACTACGTTGACAGATTTAATGAGATTGGGAATAGATTTCGGGAAACAAATTTGAATTAATATTGAGATATTATTTTTAGATTCCCTCAATTCTCGCTCAACCTCGCTCTCTCGTTCAACCTCGCTCTCTCGCTCAACCTCGCTCTCTCGCTCAACCTCGCTCCCCCATTCCTCTTCCACTGATCTTCTTTCTTCGGCGAACGACCTCCTTCGTCGGCTTTGATGTATCCATCGTCAGTCACGGGAATCATGGAGGAAAAAAATATTACTGAAAAAATAGAGAGAGAGGGAAGATGGAAAAGAGAAACTCCAAGAAAATTTTAGGGAGAATGAGAAAAATAATTACGATCAGAAAACAGAGAGGAGATGGAGATGGAGGTAGAGAGAGGAAATAAGGAGTGGAAGTCTAAAATATTAGTGGAGGAGAGAGAAGAGAGATGGAGTCTGGAAGAGAAAAAAAAAAGCAAGGAGGGACATGGGAGGTCATTTGTCAAAGTTGGTGATGTCAGTGACTAGAAAACTTGTGTTTTAAGAAGTACCATTAAAAAACTTAAGAGACCCTTATATAAGGCTTATTTTGTCCATTTTACCAAAAAAAATGATGAAAGAGATAATAAAAGTAAATTGGCAATTGGGTGATGTCAGCAAACGCTTAGAAAATATGAGTTTTGAAAAGAGTGATTAAAAAACATAAAAGGTATGAGAGAATACCTATTCCGTCCAATTTCCCAAAGAATTGTTGGAGAATGAAGCAAACTAGCTGTTTTCAATTGTTGGGAGAAGAAGGAAAGGGAGGAGAGAGGAAGAGAAAATAAAAATGGAAAAAAAAATCATATAATTTAAAAATAATAAATATACAACTCAACGGTGCCCGTCAGCATTTCGTTAGTGTCACTAACAGAATTTTAACTGCATGGACCTTTTAGAACTATTTTTCAAAGTTCATGGACCAATCTGTCACTTTTTTAAATTTAGAGACCAAATAGAAACTTACCTTCAAATTCAGGGAGCAAAAGTGTATTTTAGAAATAAATCATTGGTATACCTAATATAGAGTATATAGATAATTAAACTAAAAATTTGGTTCTTATAGTTTTCGCAAAGAACGAATTTGATCCATATAATTTTAAAAGCTTCAATTTAGTCCCGAAGTTTTCAAAAGTTTCAGTTTGGTCTCTATAGTTTAGTCAAACTTCTCAAATCGTCCATGCCATTATCATATTCATAATTTTGTTCACAGAGTAGTTTTCGATATGAATAATTGTGTTAGTTGAGCGTATTAGAGTCTAATAAGGGATTGTGCACAGTGAATACTTATGTTCTCCCTCCATCCATCTCTCTATCCCTCCCTCATGAAAAACAAAACCCTATTTCTACTATATTAATTAGTAGAAAATAAAAGAAAAATTAAAAGAACACCCACATTTCTCTCCCCAATTCCAATTACACAAAACAATATCTCAAAAATAAATACATTAATTAGAGCTGGTATATCATACTTTATTTCAATTCGGATAAATAAAATCCAAAGTTATGGGCTTCTTTTATAGCACTTGGACCAAATTCATTCCTATATAATTTAAAATTTTGAGTTTCTAACTATAATTACTATTATATTATTCATTATAATAATAAGATAATTTTCAGATTTGAACCAATGACTTAATTTACTTTTGATTTCATCCAAAAGGTCTCTTACCAATAGAGATAACTGTCCTCATCTATATATCATGAATCATGCTGTTTCCTAGTCAACGTGAGGACTTTGTTTGCATTCTCCCTACAAACCCAACAACATAATAATCATCTCCCACTAGAACGATAGCAATTCTCTCCCCCTCACATTTATGTTTGCACCTTTTTCATGTGCAAATGATTAGGACTGAGAAAGAAAGGAAAGTAAGGTGAATATTAGGATCTTGAATACAAATCGGTTACGGGGCTCCTACGTCACTATTGTGTATTGAGTCCTAAGGTATAAATGGTCGAGAATTGATATGATGAATCTTTGAAGGACGGACAAGTATTGTGGTCTTGGATATAAATAATCCAAGGGTCAATACACTCTGAAGTTATTGGAGCCTTGAATACAAATGGTCAAAGGTTGATCCAATAGTTTAAAACCTTTAAACGTCGAAGAGTTTGAAGAACATGAAAGAGACTCGAAGACATGAGTCTTGAAGCATGATTATAGAATTGATGTTAAAATTGTGGTCATGTGTTATGTCTCATTTGTTGTACTCTTGGATGTGAAGAGCATGTTGTGTTGTGGTATGTTTTTTTCTTCTTTCTTCTTTTTTTATTTTTATTTTTTGTTTTGTTTTGTGGCTCGAGTGAAGGCTAGCTACTTACTTTACTCAAATGTTTTGATATTAGTTGTTTTTCCTTTCTAGGTTAGGTATATTTTTGTCATAGTTCTATTGGTTGAGGTACATATCTTGGAGTAAAAGGTCGCGAATTCGAATCCTCATCCCTATCTGATTTGTTTTATGCTTAGCTGGGTTAGAGTTGACTATATATGTATGGTTTCATTTGATAGTTGTTTAATTTGTATATCACTACTATACGATTTTTGTATCATTAATAAGTCTATCTATTATATACCAAATATAAAATATCACTAATATATATCATTTTTGTATATTGATAAAGTCTATCACTAATATACTAATATGACATATACCACTAATATACTATTTTTGTATTAATGACCAAGTATATCATCAATATATCTAACCAAGTATATCATCAATATATCACCTAAATTATATCACTCATGTGTATACAAATTCTTACATTTGTGCCACTTTTGAAAAATATTTTGTCATGTTACAAATTTACAATTATTTAGTCTAAATCTACAATTATCACAAAAGATCCTAGTTTTTGTGACTCGTTTCTCTCAACGTAACAAAAACACATGGTTCTCAAACCTACTTTTCTAAAACCATGAATCAAACATCTCTTTCATTTCGAAAGTTCGAAAGTCGATCGCTAGAGCTCTTATGTACAAAGTAAAACAACAACATATTAACATACCTATTCCCAAGTTGGATTGATTGCTCCTCTTCTTCCTCTTCAATTTCTCTCTCTCTTCTCTCCCTCCTACAAAGACACTGCAATTTCAAGGATCTCTCTGATCTCTTATATTGTCAAGTTGTGTTGAGTTTTGTTTTCTTGTTGCCTTCAAGATAACCAACTAATATTTAAATGTTTTCATTTGTTAAAAAAACAATATTAGATTCAACTTTCTAATGGAAAATGATTGGCCATAAACTTTAGGGCTAGGGAAGGTTTCTATTAGGACTATATATTAATATTCAATCACATCACTATTTTAATGTATTATGTTATTTAATCGGTTTCACATTATACTTTTATCAACCTATTTGACTAGTGAAATAAAAATTATATAAAATATAAAATATTTTAAATCGGTGTTTGTTTGGAATGACTTTTCAAAAACCTAATTTCTTAAATAAAATTACTTTTCTTTTATAAGTTATTTTGGAAGGATTGGTTTATAGTGTATTTAGTATAGCTTTCTAAGTCACTTTAAATGACTAAAAATTATTTTTTTAAGAACAAAATTTACAAAGTTTTGTGACGTATAAAATATATTTTTAAAAAGTCAAATTGATTTAAAGATTATTTTGGAAGGAACACTTAGTGATTATCTAAAAATTGACTTTCCAGTGATGCACCGAAAATTTATTCCAAAAAGGAAAAAAATCCTATTTAATTTGTAATTAGCATAATCACTTTTGAATATAGCAGTGCAACCAAACAAATATGTAATACAAAGGATTTTTAAAAATATTTATAATCAAAGGCATAACTAAAAATATTTTTATTAGAAAAGAATTTATTAAGAAGAGGTGCTTAAATTAAAAGGTCAAAACTCAACCTTATGTTAGTGTAATTTTACTAACAAATTTTATTCATGAAAAAATATTAACTAATAAAGTAATTAATTTCACTGAATGAAATAACACAGTTATTATTTGATAAATTAATTAAAAGTTGTAACATCGATTAAAACTATAGTTATATTTAATTATTTTAATTGATTGAAATGATTCTTAAACTAATAAACACAAATATAAAATAATATATGATGGTTGACATTTAAATGATTAGTTAAGAAGTAGATCAAAATTAATTAATAAATTAACTAAACTCTCTTCTGTCAAATTCATTTATGTCATAAATATCATTGTTTGAAAATATAAGACAAAATTTCTCCCTTTCTGTCTTTTGTCCTATGATGCTCAAGCCAACTAATAACTATTAATTAAATGCAATGAATGTGACAAACAATCCATATAATTAATGAATGTCTAATCAGTTCTAAGAAAATTAAATTAAAGCTCCAACTTGTAATTAAAAAAAATTATCTTAAAAATTATCTATCTTCACATTCAAAATAATAATAATAATAATAATAAATAAAATAAAATAAAATAATCTTAAAATGTCCTCTTCACCTCATGAATTTTTATTACCGGATGGTGGGGAGATGATAGTAAAATATTGAGAAATAAATACATAAATAATTAGGTTGAGATGGGAGTATGTCACTTTTTTTAAGGAAATTTAAGTCTTATGTGTTGTGTTTTTCGTTGTCAACCATTGATGCAACAAATTTTCTCGACCAATTTCTAATACAACAACCCAACTAGAATGTTGTATAGCACAAACCACTCCACACTTAAGATATCGACCTCACAGCTGCATAATAAATGTAGACACCATATTTGGTCCGGTTCGTTTTCGTTTTAAAAAAAAAAAATTTATTACTGATTTATTTATTATTTTGTTTATGTTTATTTAGTTTAAAATAACATAATTTACTTTATTATAGAATTTAATGTAAAGTTTTAACTAAATCAAATTAAGTTTTAAAATTGGATAAAATTGATTTTAAGATTTAAAAAAAAAACCGTTTTTTTCTCCCCTTTGATTTTTTCGTTCATACGTGTATCCCCTCCCCTTCTTCTCCTCCCTCTTTTTCTCTCTTCTCTTGTCCCTTTTTCTTTTTTATCGTTGGTGTATTTAAGGAGGGCTGCAAGTGGGGAGGAGACCAAGAAAAATTCACTTCCTTCTTTCTCTCTACCATCACCTCCTCTTCTTCTGCACCCAGGCCGGCGATCCTGACGATACACAAACTGCACACGCCCACGGTGATCACAAGTTCAGACAACCTGCACCACAGTAGTCCGGCGCAAAGCNGTCCCCCCGTGAACACCACGTCCCCCCGTGAACACAAGTTCAGACAACCTGCACCACAGTAGTCCGACGCAAAGCTCTATAATCCCGACGGACAACAATAATATAATGAACAACTTCTACAACCGATGCACAGATCACCGACCACCTGACTCCGATCTCGATTGCTCCTTCACGGTTTCAGACCCACGGGCACACCCAGAATTTCCTCACTGCAGTACGTGGTATAGAAAAAAATTGTTTTAGAAATGATTTGATTTTTTTTTATTTGTTTTAAATAAGCTTGTTTTAAATTTGATATATATATATATATATATATTAAAATAAATTTGTTTAAATATGATTTGATATATTTTAAAATAAATTTGTTTTAAATATGATTTGATTATTTTTAAAATAAGTTTGTTTTAAACATGATTTGATTTTTTTAAAAATAAGTTTGTTTTAAATATGATTTAATTTTTTTTAAACAAGTTTGTTTTAAATATGATATTTTTTTTCTTTAAAACAAGTTTGTTTTAAATGTTTTTTTTGTTTCAAGGAAGTTTGTTAGAGGAATTTCAAATCTAAAACAAAATAATTTTATTTTATTATTATTATTATTATTATTTTCGGTTTTAGTTTTATTTTTTTTAAACATTTTTTTTTAAATAAAGATTTGTATGATAAGATTTAAAACTAAATTGTATGATGTGGTGTTGGCATAGTGGTAGGTTATTTTAGGAGTAATTCACATGTCTCAAGTTTGAGTCTTTATTATAAAATATTAAGTGATATCTTAGGATGTTGACACATTGGTAAGAAGTTTGTATATGGACTCTCGTGTCACAAGTTTAAGTCTTGATGGATCCTACACTAAAATTATTTTTTATTTATTAATTTTTTCTTTTCTACTAAATAATTATTTCGAAAATCCCAATGACAGAAATTGGATCTTTCCAATATTCTCGAGATGATAATTTGTTTTTCTAATGGTCTTTGTGCCACTCAGACTTGTTGGTTCATATTTTATCGTAAAATATGAACCAATAAATTTTGGACATTTAAAATCAAACAGAAAAGTATTTTTCTTTTTGGACCAAAGTATAATAGGATAATTTTTGACAAAATATGGTACCGTTTTCGAACGGGTGTCGTAGGGTGCTAACACCTTCCCTACGCTCAACCGACTCCCGAAACCCTCTGGCGACCGGGCAACGACGACGATTTAGGCGACGACTTTGTTTCGTCGCCAAAGACCTTCGGGGACGAAATTTGACCTTTTAGCGACGAAAATTGTCGTCGCCGAAACTCCGAATTCTTGTAGTGACACCTCGTAGATGATTGGTGGCGACTCCAAACCCTAATCTCGAAAGAGACCTGTCAAGGGATGATGTTGGCCGCTCCCCGTCGCAATGACGTTGCGACAATAAAGAATACCTTTCTTTTGACTAATTGCTCCTACAAGATAAAAAAGAGAGAAATATGAGAAATTCAAGAAGATAGAAAGCATTATTTATTCCTATTCAACAACTAATGTACGAATAGTTGGTTGATTTTGACTAAGGGATTGTTGAACCCTTGCCTTGGAATAAATAGAATAAAATTATGGATTGATATTGGTGTGATCTTACTCATTATTAGAGATCAATCCTGAACCCTGACGAATTATTAATGCCGATTTTTGGGTAAGGTCCATGTACGTGCCATGCTGGTGCCATGTACGCCTTCGTCTCCAATATCTTCATGTCTGCACAGAGAAATCTAGCACCGATGTGGTGCTCTACCAGATCCACTCCAATGCTTTAGTTATAATTAAGCAGAGTGCAAATGGGTATAAAGCAGAAGGAATAAGAGAACAGTAATCTTGAGGGTGAGAGTCTACTTGAGAGTGTGTATCGAATCCTCACAATGAGGTTTGTAGGGAAAATGCACAGCTTATCTCGATCAGGATTGTTCTTTTCCTTATATACAAATGGAGAGAGAGATATAAGGAGAGGGGTTTCCTTCGTGTGAGACATTAACACAGGAGCGGTATGATGCATCTAGGGCCTAGGGGGTCACCGATATTCTCCGCTTCCCTTTGTGTGGCAAATAAGGGGCATGGCAAGCATCCTGGGTAGTCGTTAAGGTGCATTGAGGTTTAGGTACAGCCACAAGGTGTCAACACCCTACCCACTTACTCCTTTCTATACAGGTAGATCAGGAGCACTTGAGCCTATTGCCTGTGCATTTGAAGTTTACCCAATGCGCTCAGTCATTTCGGGTTCTTTCCATAACCCAGTCTATTATATGAAGTCAGAACAAACCTGAATGTCAGGCGTAGCGGAAGCATGAACTAAAAATCGATCAAACAGATCTTGTTGGCAACTTTTAATTAAAAACATTTTTTAAAACAATAAAGTGGGATTAATCACTTACCTTTTAGATCTTGTAGACTACATAGAATCCTCCTAACTATCCTCGATCTACAACAAACGGGTGTGTGGCACCTTTGGGAGAATAAAAAAATAACATATTCTTTATTTTCATGGTGGCTACTACGGATGAAACGAGGAGAGTTATCTTGGAATGTCCTCAGGTTTTGCCTATAAGGGCCTTTTATATAGACTTTGGCCCATAGCTAATCAATCTCTAATTAATTATGAAAATTAGAAATTTATTTAATTTTCTTAATTAATGTATTAGCTTTCATCTAATCAGGTTTGGTCCATGGACTATTCTATAAGACCAGCCAATAAATATCTCATTAAATTAATAACAAATATAAGTTATTATTTAAACTCCAAATTAAACATTTTAAGTATAAATTAAATAACCAATATTATTTAATTTATCCCAACTTATTGTTCAATACAGAGGTTAATGAGCTAGCATGGGGACCTTATGGACCTACAAGTTTCACTCCAATGATCAACAATGGATTAATTAGACTCGTTAATTAGCAAATTTT